AATCCGAGAAAATGAAAAAAACACAACTCAACCCAACCCAACAGACACATAAACATGCACAATAGGCCTACATCTGTTTTTTGGTCTGTCTTCTCGGATTGGCTGCGTAATCTCAGAGGAGGAGGAGGAGGAGGAGGAGGAGGAGGAGGAGAGTCAGAGCCTGGCCGGTAGAATGACAGAGAGGGCCAGCATCGGCCAGACTTTTCCCCCTCTCCTCTCCAGCTCAGTCCTGTGGGAACCATGGCCAGAGGGAGGGGAGCACAGACTGGATGACAGAGTTGTTAAACGGAGGACCAACACCCAGTACAGTGTGTTTTAAAGTCATCTCTCCACATGGAGCTTGTTGTTTCTATCTCTGGACACGCCCTGATTTATGATGCTGTTGAGATTTAAGGAAAGTAAATGAGCCTCTAAGCTGCTGCATTGTTTCCACCCGTGAAGTGGAGGGTGCATATGAAGTCGCATTAAAACAGGAAGGTGATGGACTGTAATGGAAAGTCTGTCTGATTGGCTCTGCCAGTGCTGATATTAGCGGGTGCACTATGAAATCACTGAGGTTCAGCCCATGTGAACAGTGGACACTGTGTTTTAAAAAGGCTAACACCAAAATGTGCAGAGGCCTGAACACAGCCTCTCATCTCACCCAACCAAGTATGCAGTAAGAAGTAAATGAGGAAAAGTTTAAATACCCTTTTACATAGCCATGAAGTCAAGAGTATCTTGAGGTCATGTCGTAGATATGGAGTTGCATATCTTGGTATTCATTTGCTTAAGTGCAAAAATCTTTAATTTTAATTTAAATTACTTTTTGAGAATGTGAAAGGCCGAAATTAGTACTTGCACATGCAAGGCTAATATATATTAAAAATAACTTTATATTTCAGAAGAAAAGAGGCGCTGAATGCAAGAAACATGCCGGACAAAAGGAGCCACTTATTTCCAGATTATCGTCAGGCATCAATCTCTGAGACTGTCCTTCAGCTCCTTCTGCCCTTGCAGTGAATGAGTGGCACTGGTATTACTCATTATGTCGGGAGAAAGGGAAGATTAAGTTGAAGAAGGACTAGAAGGTCAAAGTTTAAAGCTGGCCTATAGGAAGTGACCCTTTGTGATCTCTGGCTTCCTGGTCAGCTTTAGGGTATTTCGCTCAACAGTGCGCATGTACTGTCTACTAAACAAGGGTGGTATTGTGTGGACATACAGCCTCTGTTGGGACAGCGCCAAGTCTATGTTGGCAAAGATGTAACCTCACATTGTGATCAACATCTAAAGCTTCTTATTTATGAATCCTGGGTTCACTGATAAATTGACTGTTCCAACCAATGAGCTGCATTCAGAGATGAACGGAGAATATGTTGTTTTTGTGTGAAACAGCTGTTTAAAGGTTTGCATGTGTGGGAGTTTACATTTCACAGCAACTTAAAGGTATGGGTGTACTGAGGAGTGTAGTATGTGTGTGTTCTCCTTCCTGTGTCAGCCAGCCGTGGATAGGCCTTGGAAGGGAAGCAGCCTCTGGCAACGAGGAGGGGGTAGAGAGCAGAGGAGCCCCCAACCCCATCCTATGTGGTAATGGCTTAGTGCAGGCCAGATCAGACCTCTTGGGATGCACATGGCTGCCGGAGACCGCTCTTCTCTTCAGCGGCGCGAGACAGGGTTAGCAGAGCACCAAGCAGACAGAAGGAAAGAATGGAAAAATGAAGGGATGAATCATTGTTTCTGAGCTTACGGCAAGAATGAGTTCTCCACATTCAGATCTAGGCAGAAAATGGGACAGCGCATTTCAAGACATATGGTGGAAGTTGATTTTAGGATTGACAACTACGTTTTGAAATCATTATTTTGAAAATGTACATGAAAACGTAAATATATTATTACACTGTGTTTTGGCTGTTTGCTCATTCACAGCAAAAAGATCAATAAAACTTGAATACATGGTTTCAATCTGCTGACCGGATTTAGCAGTTGTGGTTCTGTTAGCTGGAAAAATGATGAAGATTTGAGTCTAACCCAAAGACGCAATGACACAATTTCCAGATTCATGAAGGAAACTGCTGGTTGCACAACAACTGGGGGAGAAGGAGAGAGTCAGAAGCTTTGTTTCTCTTGGAATAACTTTTCCATCTGAGAAAGCCTTACCCACATTCTGACATACCTGCAACAATCCCCAAGCGGGAAGACTGCTCTAATGTTAGGTGGATGGTTTTAATTTTTCAGTCTTCAGCAGAGGCATCTGAAGCTCTTTAAGGCACACCAGAGAGGTCTTTGCATCCTTCCTGCTCCTCCTCCCACTACGTGCGTGTGGTCTCCTGCTGCTTTCCCTGCCGCCCCAGGGTTTAGAGGTCAAGAGGTCATCGCTGGGGACTGGAATGTTTATGTTCGCTGCTCCTGTTAACACCAATATCCATAGTGCTGTGTCTTGCACTACTAGAGGAAAAAAATGCTTCCTAATGATAACGTTTGTTAGTTCGACTGTCTCACACTTTGGTAACTTGGCAGATTGAACTAAAGGCAGACGCTGAAGAGGCAAATACGTATTAGTCTGGCAATAAGTGTTAAGATTTAATCAATAAAAATACAACCAAGGAGAGGTGTCTCTACTGATTGACTAACACAAATACACAATGACATCTGAAATACAGCCAAATCTTAGCAAAATGAAGGAAAAGATTATAAAAACATCAATATAGATATGCACAGACATTAAACAGTAAAGCCAGATCTTAATCCCTGGAAAATAGATTTTTCTTGCTTGCCTAAAAACTTAGCTTTTCACAGTTGAGATTCTATATAAAGTTTTTTTTTTCATACTCGCTTCCAACCACAAACACACACAGCTGGGGCTGTGACCATCGCACTCTCCTTCGAGTTCTGTGCCAGCAAACAGCGCAACACACTCTCTTATACACACACCACACCCACACACTCCCCTCCCTCCTCAGTGCAGTGCAGAACTACACAGCAGAACTGGCTGTTTGTTTATGACCCATTAAAAAAAAAAAAAAAAAGACTTGCAAAACACTGCTGCAAACATAAAAGAAAATGCTGGAGCAGCGTGGGGAGTGGTCTGGATTTTTTTTGGGGGGGGGGGGGGGGGGGGGGGGGTTCACACGCTAGTATGTGTGTGTGTGTGGGAGGAGAAAAGGAGCAGAACCAGGCATAGGGCAGTATATGAACAATTTTGTATTCTGTTTCTTTTCTCCCCCATCCCCCCACTTTTTGCTTCCCCTCTCTCCCCCCTTCAGCCCCCCCACCCCACCTTCTAGTCCCCTCCACCAGCAGGTTGTTTAATACTTTCCAGATTTCTGCATGCCGTCGGCATCCTGGAAGAGCTGCAAGTCTGCTGATGGAATTTGGCGGAAAAGGTTGTGGGTCCAGGCAGGGGCTCCTGACACAATAAACCTGAAGGCAATGAGCGCCTCCCATTGGTGGCTCGTGTAAGAAAATACGATTTTCAAAGAGAGTTGGAAACCAAAGGGAAATGACATTTGACAGCCTCTGAGGCAGTTGAGAAACTACACCCAGGTTGTTTGAGAGGGAGAAACAGCTGCAAGGCAGACTCAGATTACAATGAGTTTCTGTAGGGGGTGGGAGTTGGGGGCTAACTGAGCCCCATGAACAAATCTTCCATCTCCTGTAACAAGTTCAAATGTGCAGGACAACTTGAACAGTTGTGTTCACATCCTGCCCTGTACTACAAATCATCCTAATAATCTCATTTGACAGTCTCTGTGATGAGTCAGAGATTTCTTTTTGGCATTTGTTTTTTTTGTAAACACAACAAAAATAAAATAAAACTCATCTATCAATAAGATGTTTTGGAGTGTGAGATGATATAAAGATGTTAAAAAGATCCTAAATGCAACTCAAAAGTCATGTCAGCCGTTTCACTGACGCATCACCACGTGAGCCTTGTACGACCACTAGATGGCAGTATATAACAAGATTTAGACCAAGTGACTTGCTCCTTTGTGCAAGACCAGCAGCATAAGATATATAATTCAGTTAAAAAGACTTTTCGAAACAAATGCAAAAGTGGTGACTAGTGAAGATTTAGTCTTTCCTTCTCAAAGAAACCAACAATCTTTAAAAAGAATAATGACTTTATACAGACAGGAAAAAATATAATCATTAACCCCACTGGTCTGTATTGACCACAACAATCAATATAAATGGCCTGTTCTTACCACAAGTGCAAGAATAATGACCTTTTGTAGCCCTATGGCAGATTGGACTCTGGTATAATGTGACTGTGAAAAACTGAAAGTGTAGGGAGATTGAACATCCGCAAAACTGGAGGTGAACGGCGATGGAACTGAAAAAAAATAATACCAAAGAATGGAGTGTTGCCCGCATGCAGAATTAATGTGGCGGGATGCATGGTGAGACCTTGAACTGTCTGCCCCAAGTGTTAACAAAAGAGACCGCAATAAACTTTGCCCGAGCCATGAGGGGTTCACGTGTGTGAAGAGCCAGAGCGTAGTCTGTAAAATCAAAAGTGACAGAAGAGCTCAGAGTTCATGAAGATGAGCAGGATCCAGGTCTTACGTGACTGCCAGACTCATCCATCCTCCAATCAGCAGGGTGAGAACAATTACCTGTCATTACCGTTTATGAATGCAACTCTCCAAAATGATAATCTTTTCCTCCCCCCATCCATCTTTCACTCTTTCCAATGATGAGAATATAGCTGCATCATGGGGGTGTCAGACAGCACAGCTTTTAAACTAAGCCTTACATTTAGACTCTCTCTCTCTCTCTCACATTTACTAATGAGTCATCACATCACTATCAGCTTGTATAGCTATATACTTAGGAGACACATCCAACTAGACCTCAATTACTTCCTTCCTTCCTTCCTCTTCTGGGACAGCCAGAGAATAGTGACAGGAAACAGAGAAGGCACTCAAGGAATTCCTTTGTTAATGCTGCTGATTGAGTAGCACTTCTGCTGCATTATTTTCTGATGCACTGAGACAAACTGGCAATAAAATATGCAGCAGTAAAGATGTTCAGGATTTCTTTTATTGAAAAATATAGGTTATTTTTGAATAATACAGGGGGAAAAAGCTGTAAATCTACAGTAAAGATGACAACAGTAAGGCATAATATACAAAATTATACAGAAAGAACACAGACAACTTCCCATTCGCACCAAATTGTTAAACCTAGAAATTACCTGAATATATTATGTAGTGTTTGAGTGATTGAAAATATAAATATCCAGTTATGCATATTCATTTTCTCCTTTTTCCTCCTGCATGATATCACATCTCAGAACACCATTTTATTTATTTTTTTAAGCTTCAAGCTGGAACTCAGTCTTAAATTCAACAGCGATTACCCATACAGAGAAAGAAGTGGCAGACAGAGTTGACAGGCTCTCCCAAAAGTGAGCTTCATACTAAAATTATTTTAATTATTTGGCACATCTGTCAGTTTCAGTTAAGGCAGTGAAATCAATCAGCGCAACTAAGCCTCAATACTTCTGGCCATGGCTTTTAATGATGCAAGAGATACAGTCAAGCTGCAATGACTATGCAACTTGCATAAAAATAGCAATCTTTTCTCGATGCTCTTGCATCTATTGCTGGCTGCGTCTTTCTTTTTCATCCACTCTTCAAACAGAAACACAAACATAGCAAAAGTTTTTTTTAAATCAAAGATAAAAACAACAGGTTTTAACTACCAAATGTGAGTAGTTTCCGTTTTAACTGTTCCTGCTGGTACACTAATTTTTCAATAATGCATACCCCAAAGCCCTGCTCGTGAGTAGTAGTGGAAATTGTTTTACACATTAAGGCAGCCCCTGGACTAATGAGGATGAACATATTTTACAAGGTTCAGTTGCACCACTGCAGCTGCTCGAATGTATAAAAACAAGGAAGGAAGTGGTTATCAGACTCTTCAGTTTCAACTTGAAATAACAGATTAGAAGGAAGTAGGCCAATTCATGTCAGTTTACGGAAATCTGCTCATCATCATCATTATGGATTTTTTCAACAAAAAAAAAAAAAATCTGTTCATTGGAAAAGAGAAAACAAACAGTGCACAGTCCTCCTCCAGTGCGCCACACAATGCTCTTCACACCTCTGGCTTCCTGTAGTAACACCATGCTTCATGCTTTAATGCAGGCCAATACGTCTCCATTACCTTTCATCCCTGCTTTTCTCAAATTCAAACTGAGGCTAAGCCTGTGTGGCGCTCACAGTGAATCAAAAACAGAAGAGAATTTAGGGCTTGGGGCTTTGTGGTCCAGTATTAGAGCAGGAAATGGCAGCCTTTGAGCAGCGTCACAAGGAGCCCGAGTTACATAAGGGAGAAAACTCTGACAGATCTATGGCGCTTTACAATAATATTTTAAGATGAAAGAGGCTCAAGGCAGGGCTTCACACTCCAGTGCCAAACACAGTCCCCTTTATTGTGACAAGATACCTACCAGTGATCCTGTGGTGACAGAGGCCTTCTGTTCAGCTCAGGCCTCTTGATGTCCCGCAGCCAGAGAGAGAAAGTGCAAGAAGAGAGAGGCAAACCAAATGAAAAAAAAGCACATGTGACACATCAAGTGAGAAGGGAAAGAGAGAGAGAGAGAGCAAAGCGTGAACTAAGCTTTAGTTGTGGAAAGTGTTTTTCCTACAAAAGTTTCTTTCCAACTCATCCTCCCTGCTTACTTCTGGAATGTTCCATATTCAAAAAGTGGCTGCTCTTCCATGTCAGTTCCCTCAGACAGATTGACAGACAAACAGAACGTGGAGGGTAAGGCTTTCTGACAGATGGAGTTTGGGCTTGTCCTAAAGGAGCAGTCACTCTCTCCTTGCAGACCTACAAAGTAGGAGTACTCCGTGTCTTCTTCACAGTTCCATACCCACAGTAACCGACGACAGTGTCTTACTTCTGTTCAAGTGCAAATCCACACTGTCAAAGGACTTGCTAGTTTCATAGAAGGCTTTGGAATCTCATACGCGGATCTCATCGTCTTCATCCTCCAAGAAAGAGGAGAAGTTGCTCTCCTCCTCTGGCGGGGCACTGAAGGTGGCGCTGTCTGTATCTCCTGCATAGGTCTGGCTGTTTGGTTTCTCATCCAGAGCAGCAGAACCAGAGCTGGACATGGAGCAGCTGTCTAGATGCTGCAAGTGTTTGGGCCGAGTCTCAGGAGTGTACTCTGGTGTGTAGGGCCCTCCATTCTCAGGCCCCAGATCAATAGAGCTGCTTGGATGCATGGAGGCCTGCTGCTGCAGTTCTGCTGCTTCTTCCTCTGCCTCCATCGGCTCCTCTGTATGCTCATCCTTTTCTCTCTCCACGCTATCCTCTTCCTCGCCGTGGGAGCTGAGAGGTGGTGAGGCACGGCCCTCGCTGCTCTTGCCCTCCTCGTAGCCAAGATCGTCGTCCTCCTTCTCCATCACCCCCAGGATGTCACCCAGCATGGAGGGCCCCAGGTCGACATGGAAAGACATTACTGACACAGCATGCTTCATGCCACCGCCATAGTGGTGGGGGGTCTCCGGAAGCTCGGTCAGCTCACCAAAGCTTCGCTCTTCTAGTTCCAGGAAGTGAGTAGCTGCAGCTGCACCTCTCTCATCCACGTCCCCTTGGTACTTAAAAGGACTCGAGGACAAACTCTTTGCCACCATACTGTCCCCTCTGTCGTCGTCATTGAGGAAGGGCAGAGACATGGCATTTTTCACATAGGTAGGTGACCCAGCGTGGGCTATCAGAGCGTTGTCTCTGTGCTGGTCCACTCTGGTCACCGACTGGGAGCGTTTGCTGCTCCTGAAGGTACGAGACAGTAGGCCAGGCCGGGGAGAGCTGGGGTGGGATGTGGTCTCAGAGGGTGGTTCCCCTGAACGGGTGCTGAGGAAGGAGGTGTCTCCAAACGCATCACCACTGCGGCCTACATGCATGGTGTGGCGAAAGTCACCCAGTGGAGCACTGATCATCTCCCTGGTCAGATCCATGCGTGAGCGGCGCTTGGTCTGGGAGGAACCAGAAACTAGCTGTTTTAGGATTGGCATGGTGGCTGATCAGCTGTTTTCTTTTGCACAGAGATTAAGTCAAAGATGCAGTCGGGCAACAAAAAGAACTTCCAAATTCTTAAATATAATCCTTCTTAGAGACCTTGGAATGAATACTGACACTCCTCAAATGCAGGCAGCCCGGGAACCTGAAAATGAAAATAGAATAAATTACACATAACATATTTAAAATGTAACTTTGCTCATAAATTAATACTTCAATTTAAATAAAAGAAGGTATTCTAAGTAAAAACATCCATCACAAAGGAGTGCACATTAAAAAAAAAAAAAGCAGCATGAAATAATATTTGAACCCGCTTACTAACAGAAAACATGCTCTATAGCATCTCCATGCCACACACACATTTACGGATGTCAAAAATAAACCAACTTAAGTCAAATAAGGCCAACCTAAAGACATCTTTATACTACATCTTTATATTCACATTTGGCTGATTATTAAAGTAAATAAAAACATTTCTAGGAATTTCAAAATGTTCCACTAATTACAAGAGCTGAAGCCATCAATTATGCTACTCCATAATGATAAGCAGTACTCTACAAACATCTCTGTGAGATGACCTCTGAAATGCACTGGAAAAACATGATGGGTAACACCACAGCATTCTGCTTTAAAACTGCATTAGAACAGAGAAAAACACCAACCACAGACCAACAAGAATCAGAGAAGGATAGTTGAGTGCTGCCAGGGATTTTCTGGCGCAAAGCTCAACCTTGACTGCACAGATTACAGTATATGACCAAGAACTAATCTTCCTAACCACAAAAAAATTAAATTATGCAAGCATCAGAGAACAATGAACACTGGGTATGCTATTCACCGAGCACAGAAGCATTGTTTTGACAAGCGCATATGAAATTGTGATCAGAACGAGAGACAATATTACCGAGCCATCTTCTCCCTCTTAGACAACAGTGTTTAAGCTCCTAGTGGTTTGTGACTGACCGGTGATAGGAAACATCTTTCTGCATTATTGAAACATGCAGCCCAGACAGAGGAAACAGCAGCACCACAGGCTGCCAGCCAGTCACTGCTGCTTCCTCCTCAGGTGCCGAAGCAGGGCCTCTCATTAGTAACACATCCCAACATAAAATACACATAAAAAGAGCACTACCACGGTGGTCTGCAAAAGAAGTGCAAGCAGTTTCTGCAGACAGACAACAAAAACACATGCACCTCTGATTTGTGGGTGGAAAATCCCTATGGTTACAGAGGCCTGAAGGAAATGCTTACCATGCAGTCTTAAGCATGCACCTCTTCGGCTTGCACATAGTGCTTCTTTCTTTGTTTACTCACGCCAACACAGGAAGATCATTAAACCAGACAGTGACTTAACCTTGACTTTGGATTTCTTACAGGCAAGCCTTCAAAAGATATTTAAGTCCGAGTTGTTTTTGGTAGAAGTGTTGTTGGGAGATTTTGGCTATTTAATGTGGCAAGCTTTTTAGTGCATTGACCTCGTTCTTCTGTCTCCGCCCCCCCCAGCCACCCCGCCTTTGCCAGCTGAGCCACTTCTTCTCTTCCTGTTAATGCCTTCACCTGCTTTGGTTTCCATGGAAACACCCTCCTGCAAGCAAGCATCAGCATTTCCTGTCAGGGGCTGCAGAAGGCTTCAGGCGTCATACAAGCACACAACACATGGCCTCCTTCTGTGTCAACCTAGAGCTTAGATACTACACCCTTTAGATCTGATGCCTACTATGGTTTCACCCATTCATTTTTTTATTGGTAAAAATGGATCGATCTCTCTCTCTCTCCCCTGTAGAAAAGTAAGTAGAGCGGTATCTAGCATTTTTGACTTAGTCTTAGACACATTGTGAAAACTCCAAAATGGTTCCATGCCAAAACACACAAACAGTCACTTTTTACGCAGAAAAAATGTTTATTATTGAAGATGCAGGTTCTGATTTGTTTTTTGGGGGGGAAATGAGGGGGAAATAATTCACACCCAGCCAAAAAACAATGTTTTTTACAACTACTTGCTTCTGGGTGGCATAAGCAGACAAGGAAAAACAACCAGAGGATGAAACAAGGAGAGATGGAGAAAGCCTACCTTCTCCCCCCCAGGACAGGATCAAACTGAAAAGCTCAATGGTGCCCAATGCAGGGCCATGGGTTCTTCATCAACTTCAGGAAGCTCTGCAGCAGCACAGGCCTCTAGCAATTACATTCAACCTGATTCACAGCACTGCTATGTTTACAGCTTTGTGTATCTTTGTGTAAGTGTGCGTGGATGCACGTGTGTGTGTGTACGCACACATGTGAATGAAAAAGTGGAAAAGGGCCTGAGAAGGCAGCAGTTAGCGTGGGAACTACGGGGTCACAGCGGGAGGATTGACTTTATAAACAGACTTTCTCAACACTCAGGGTCTGGCTGCAGCAGAGCCCACTGGAGACACAGAATGTGGGACAGAAACAGACAGGACGAGCAAACAAAGCACATCTGCATCATTTCATTTTGACAGCAAAATAGGAACCAAGCATCTCAAATCCTAACACACACTGCACACTTTTCTGACCTACAGACCTTGAGCCCTTTGAATGATATGATTTTGAAGATGACGGACCAGTCTAGATGTGGTATTCCTCAACTTCTTAATGAAGCAGCAGTGCATGCATGCGTACACTGCGATGAAGTTGAGAACACTGGGAATGTTTCCAAACCTTTGGCAATGCTTCCTCACTTCTCTCATCTTTTCACATCTGTTTAGGTAAATGATATTCCAACTTGTTTCCCCAAATGTATTTATGTCATGGGAATGTAATGTTAGCTTGGTTTATAGATCCCATAACTCATTTATCAATATAAATACCTAGCTTGCGTCTAAGGAGGGTTCTAAATACACTTAAATATCATATGGTAGCCGCTACTTTGTGGGAAGAAAATACACACACCCAATTCTTCTGAGGGAAAAGCAAAGAAATAACATGGGAAAGATATAAACAGAAATTGGTTCTTTTACTGTAAGTGGTGAAAAAAGCAAGCACTAAATCAGACTTGAGTGTATTCACTTGGGAGAATTTTGTATCTTGAAAGGAAATGCTGCAGTCATTTCTTAACTGTAGAGATATGCTACATGAGGGGAAGTGAACCAATACGCGTAAGCTACGACTCAAAACCACTCTTATAATTATTAAATGTTTTACAGCTCAGCAAACACACACAAAAAACATCACAAGACTGAATTTACATGCACGACAAGACTCCTGTTCATCGTTTGAAAGAGATTTTGACATCCTGGATAATTTTTGTTTAAGACGAACTTAACTTTTCACTTCTCGCCAATTCTCTCACACTTGGCCAGTCAACACTAATACACAAGAGATCCCTGACAGCACTCTCAAACATGACTAATGGTCCATTTTCCCTAATTGAGTATTGATGCATCTTGTTTGTGCTTAATTTGTCCAGTGTGTATTCTACTGTCTGGGAGAGGGTGGCTGCTACAGTGGCAGAAAGCCTTCCGTCTGCCTTATTTGAAGGCACTGACCTGGATGGACAATTGCATGACCCGAGGGTGAAATGACGTTAGGGGGTGGGAGGCCACATGCACCCAAATCTGAGTGAAAAACAGGGACAAAAATGTCTGGTCTCCTCTGTCCTACTGACATCTGAAACTGTTCCGCCAATCTTACCATCTCATTCAATCCCATATGTTTAACCCTAGCAAGAGTAGTTGTTACACGCATGCATGTGCACACACATACACACACACACACACACCAGAAATTAAGCAGACAAATAGCCTGTAGAAGATAGGTATCTGCCATGCAACTCAGTTAAGCAGGGCTGAATATCTCATTTAGGAAGGAGCAGCCCGGGGACAAACAGTGGAAATCACATCATCTCTCAATCAGGCAGACAGAGAACAACAGGCATCAAGCTGATGCTGCCCTTTGAGACAAATACAGCAAGGAGGAAACACACAGCTCTAATGAAAAAATTACAAATAAAACCTTCCCACTTACATAAAAGCCAGATTTAGTGGTTCCTTAAATGGCTCATTTAGGGCACTAACGGCTGTTTGCTTATGTGAATTTAGATCAAGTTGTTGACCCCCCCATGAAATTCTCCATGTCATTCTTCACCATGCAGTTCCAATAGAGCCAGAAAGCCCAGGGCTCATTTTGATCAGTGTAAATCCTCTGTGGCCTAAAGAGCAAAGCAAATCCTAAATCCGTTACTGTGAAATGCTGAACATGATGGGGAAATGCCCGGTGTGGTTTGCTGGCCAGCCCCCGTTCACACCAACCTTCGCCTGTGCGCGTTTGCTTCATTTTTTGTGACCCAACAATTCTATCCCAGTGATTGATGTTGAGTTGAAACGATTAACGTTAAATCAGTAACATTTAAAAAAAATAATTTATAATTGATTAATTGTTTTTCAAGGAAAAACGCAAGACATGATTGTTCCAGTTTGTCCAATGTGAAGATGTGAAGATCATTTTAAATGGAACATTGTGGGGTTTTGAACTGTTGATCAAACAAAATAAGACTGTTGAAGACATCCCATTTCTCTAGGAAACTGTGATGCACATTTTTCATTATTTTAGGGCTGCAGCTAACGATTATTTTAGTATTCGAAGCTTCTATAGATTATTTCAACGATTCATCGATGAGTCGTTTAAGAAGTACTTTTGCTTGGCGGCGGCAGCAAGATTTAAGTGATTAAATGCTACAGTTACAGTTAGCTTGTCTGTGGTCCGCTGGCAGAACACCGGCTGCTTTCTGATAACGTGCAGTCGTACTGTTGCCGAGGCGACATAAATTTCGTTTTACGGTGGACGGACTGTGACATTACAGAGTTGTTGTTTTCTTCAGCTTGAAATAATCCCATACTTTGGACACTTTCTTCTTTGTCCCTCACTATTTTCTCTCTCTTCCTCCACTTTCCATTATAATCACGTCTTGTTCACAGCGTATGCGCGATGTGCGACAATAATAAATGTTATTAATCGTTTAGAGATGAATAAAACACCTCAATAGTAATTTGATTTCTGCAAAAACCAAGAATACCAACTCTGGGTAAAGGAAGGAGAAGATGAAAGGCCCCAAACCTCACACATCAGTGTTTTTGCCTTACCTTACCCTGGCAAGGTGGTGTGAGGCGGTCTGTTATGCTAATGTCACGCCTCACCCAGCAGGACATTCTGCTTGGTAAGGATCAAAGCGCAACAGATTTTTTTGAGCTTTCCTGCTAATAAATGTGCCTGTGGGTTTTTTGAATTGGCTTTCATATTAGTAAGTACTAAATCTGTAGCTATCTTTAGATCAGTGAGTAGCATATTTGAGGTAAACAGCTTGGGCTGGAAGAACAAAACTCACTCAAGACCTCAGCAGTGTGTAAAAATGACATTCAGTATAGGCCCACTAGTAAATTATTATACAACAGTTACATTTAAATCAGTTTGAAATGGTAGCTGCAGTAATGGAGCAACACTTAAACCAACTATAAAAGTCACTATTAGCTACACAAGCAGATCAGACTAGCTAATGAGAAGCGAGGAAAAGTGATGGACAGATGATGGCCAGTACAGAGAACAGACACTATAGCTTTCAAAAGAGCCCTGACAGCCAATGAAAGGATTCCTGGTAGAGAGTAGGCCTGCAGCCAGTCAGCTCAACGTGTACAAGCTGACCTCGGATACCGGAGAGGAGATGACCTGTTTCTTTTACATTTACAGTCAACACAGCCTCCAGACACAATGCTCCATCTCTTTTCTCTCCTGTCCTCCACTTTGAACAGTCAGCTTTTATTACAGACACAAAAAGCGGAAGGCAAGAATTCTGTCCTTCATTTCGACACGTTCAAGAATGAAGAGTATTCTGCGGGCTAAACGAGAGCGATACACATCATTTTTATGGCTCTACAATGGCTGTTTATCCACAGTGTTGTCTGTTCCTGCTCTATGCTACCGTCTCTGATTCAAATAAAAGTTATAAACATGCGACTGCATTTGCATCCAGCACTGCTCAAAATCAGCGTCATCTGTGTGCTGGGCATGGCTTCTAAATACAAATGGAGGGTGGTGGTGGCTGGGTGGGGTGAAGAAATTGGCTCCACTCCGGCATTTAGAGTGTCTGAACATAATCAGAGAGAATGAGCAGAAAGCAGGTTGACATTGGCGATATCAACACAAGAGCATGCCAGAAATAACTACTTAACACTGTTTTGGATGTTTCCAGTAATGAGAGACTGCTAAAGCCTCCCCAGCTTTTTTGTCTTCATCCAGCTGGACCTGCAAGGTCAACGACCAGCTCCAGGTCATTAATAACAGTCTCCGTCTCCTCAAAGACGTTTGAGCACAGAACTGCAAGAATATGACAAATTAATGCAAAGAAAACCAGTAACCTCAACTTGGCAATTAGACCACAGCTTCTCAAAAGCACCGATCACACAGCCACACATGAAGGACGTGTTTCACTGAGAAATATGTTAGCGTGTTAGGGGTACATCCACAGGAAGGGCAGGGAGAAAATAAGGCAGTAAACCCTCCCATCTCTCCAGAAATCTACCCAGCCTGCACTTCCTGGCCACCCAATGTAAACAAGACTGTCCGCCATTATGCTGCATTACTGATGAGCTACACAAACAAACACAGCTCATATCTCCATCAACACATAGTTTTAATAACCTACAGGGCCGTGGACGAGTGCTGGGACTGTATGTGTTCAACAACAGCCATAAATGGAACATGAATCAGCGCATGGAGCACCTCAGGTTCAGACAGTGACATAATTATCTTAGAAGCCGAACACGGTCGGATCTTCTCCGCAGCAGATGGCTGAATCACAGCTTATGATAGTTCCAGCCTCTGGCCAGGGGTCCGTATCGTCACCCGGGACAGACTGACACACAGACTGGACAGGTATCTCTGAAGAGCTGCAGAAGATTAGTGGTTACATTTTTGAAAGACTCTAGTGGAAACCTGTGCTGCTCAATGGAAAGAATGCAGGGAAATTATGGGATCCGGCGAATCTAGTTTTAAAGTGTGAGAGTGCCATAATTATAGCGTCAGAACAGCAGAAAAGTAACAAAATGCACAGGCTGGTGGGAAGCCAAGTGTGCAGCTATCAAACAGTGGAGGGCTTCTTTTGTCAAAGAGTTGTCTTTTCTTTTCTTTTTTTGAAAATACAAGAAACCACTGGACCTGTGTATGGCAATGCTCTCATTCTTAAGTGGATAATCAGTGTACTGTGCACGGGTTCCCTTTCAGAATTTACATTCCAATAAGTGGATGAATACAAATCAAATAGCCAAGAAGGATTCATACAGTGACACATATTGACACTGCTGTCACAAAATCCAGTACATGACATTACACTTGTGCAGTTTAAATTTATAAACCCTTTGCTGCTACACTGATAAACACCATCAAATATGTACAACTAATGACAAGGAGACAGGATGGTAGAAGAGAATAAACATTTCCACTGGCTCATATAACAACCCCAGCCTACCAGGTCACAATGCAGCATAATGGGTAAGACCAGAAAACAATGCCACCAAACAAAAGACACAGGAACAAACACAGCATTCACACAGTGACATAAGAGATGGCCTTAGAATTTGATGTTGGGACAACAACGTTATAAAAAAACAAAACAAAACAGGTAGGTGGCAGCATATAATTGAACTAGTCAAACTAGCAAAAAATATCCGTGAATTGTTTACTGAGAGAATTAATGTTTTCTACAGCTAGCACATTTTCTACTGAGCTGGGAGTTAGGTCTCTCATTTGCAGAACTGTGGTAGTAACTAAGAGCACTGACAACAACATAACATGTTACTTATATGCTACACATCTTTCAAAAGAACTGTCATATTCTCTATAATAACCCAACAGTTCACCATCACCACAGTCAGAGGCATTCCAGGGGGGAAAAAAATAACAGTTTATATTGGTATTTCCTGGAATGTGAAGGGGCTGGACAGGACACACACGTTGCCTCAAATGAGCACACAAACTGCAGACATGTTCAAACAAGGATGCAGGACTAACCGCTCACTGGCCACAAATAATACACTAGAAGTTGCACTTCAGCGCCACCACAGAAGGCTTTTCAGCTGCCCATTATCTGTGAAATGAAAAGTAAGGCGCACAAACTTGCAAACTTTTTTAAACTAAATTCTGAGCAGTTAGCGTTTCCTAGGCTATGAGCCAGCAAAATGCTGTCTGCATGGTGCTGTGCCTGATAACAGAGAATGCTTGGCACAGTGTCCAACACCACACAGAGGAAGGATAAC